TCATGGTTGTACGGCAGTGAAGCATCGGTGTTGAACACTGATGTCATGCTGTCGATGATGATGGTGATGATGATGATGATGAAACGTTCCACTGGAAAACAAGATTCACAAACGGGCTACTCACCCACCGTAAGGCCGCCCAAGCTTTTTTAATTCATCGGAATTGAACCCACTGTTTGGGAATTTAGTACACATTTGAACACACTTGAACAGCTGGATACTCCTTACAATCTGGTAATCAGTATTACTCTCCCTTATTGCTCAAAGCCAAGAAAATCAAATACAGAATTTGGGAAAAATCTAGTAGTCACGTTTCAAACGATTCGGCTCGCAATTGGAGACAGTGAACTGAGAGAACGGAAATCGCATAAATTTATGAACGAACACTGTGTTGCTCTGGAAAACAGTCGCACGAAGAAGTGTGTTGGAAAGGTTATATGTAGAGCACATAGGTAAAGAGCAGTAATCTCATGTGGTGTAGCCTCAAGAAATATCAGTGTAAGGAGTATCCAGCAAGAGTTCTTGGTTAGTTGTTCGTAATCGATAAAAAAAGACAAAGGAGACAATCGTTCAGCTGTAACACTCTTTCGGTGCCTAGCTCCGTCACGAAGAGACTGGATCCTACTGCTGTTTGACGGTCTGGGTACCTCGGCGACCCATTGAGCTATACTGGAGGGTGTCAATGGTTAGAGGTTTGATCAACACAGTCTCCTGGTCCTCCAGGTTGGGGGTTGGAACATGTGTGGCGACGTGTTCCGTAAAAATGCTAATATATTTGTATTTCCTGTCAAACACCACAGCCTTGAGTTCAGGCTTTCGAATCAAAGGCTTTGGTTCACGACCCTAATCGGTGTGGGCGTCCTGGCAGTATGCCAGCCCAAGTAAAGTCGTGAATTTTACACACACAAATGAACTCATGTCATATCGACCTTCGCGTGGTGCCATGAGCCTGTTCGCCTTACTCGTAGGGCGCGTAAGCGAAAACATGCTACTGCTGACGCCTCTCTTCTTTCTCTTGCACATAATTTCCATCCCCCCTCTTCCCAACCCAATAAATAAAATTTCTCCCTGTAGGCCCGACAATTAGGATTGATTACCCCGTTCGTTCTGCAACGCTTTTGTAAGCAACATCTGCGCGTCATCCAGTGCTGACACCCTCTGACAGCTCAAAATCAATCTTGACACCCAGTTTGTCTGGTCGCCTTCAATCCTCTGGCAACTCGAAATCAATCTTCAAATTTTGACATCCAGTTTGTCTGGTCGCCTTCAATGTGCCAACTCTGAAGCAAGCAGGTCAACAAGCTGCTCCTGCTCTCACGCTGGAATTGCTTGGCATTGATGTATGCTGTGTATCAGAAACAAGAATTTAAGGTGATAGCACAGTTGTTGAGCTTGCCGCTCCGCCACTCTCAATGTGCTTCCGACTGCACATTTCTGGCGATCCAGAGCCTGCTGCGGCAGGATGTGCAAGGGTTGTTATCGTCCCAACCCCCGGGCCGAAGGATCCTTACTTGACTGGATACTCATTGGTAGTTGCCTCTGTGCAGTTCGTCTGGCAACGTCTGTCGCGTCTGCTTACGCCCCAACCGACTGTAGCTCTGAATCATCGAGGACAAGTTTCACGACATCCTGAATCCCCTGTTACGGACAGCTAAAAGCTCAGAGCTCGCGACGGTTGTCGGAGATTTGAATGCACACGTTGGCAGGCCTGGCGCATCTGAGACTCAATTAGGTGTTCGACATGGACTAGACTCAGTACGTACGGAAAATGGTGAACGACTGCCTTAGCTGCGCGCTGACCTCAGGCTGTTACTATGCAGTAATACCTTCCAGAATAGCCGAATTCGTCTGGCCACATGGTGTCACTCAACGGCATGTCGGCTACGAACTCAAATCTACCACATTTCCATAAGTTACCGACGGTGAAGATCAATAAGTGAATGTCGCTCGTTTTGGGACATATTTGTGGATTCTGACTATGCATTCGTCCGAAAACGCTTCTCCCTACGTTTTCCTGGGCCGCGCAATGTGCGGACAAGCCGCTTGGCGATCGCGTGGCAGACGAATGTACCAGGATCGTCTTCTGGAGTCTCTTCCAAATGTCCCACCATCAGATGTGAACTCATACTGGAATGAGATCTCCAACCCTCTGCACAGTACTTGTGGCAGGGCGCCACCAGGTTCACTCACACAGTAGGTATCAGACTGAACAGCGGTATTGCTTAACTCTCGGAGAAATATTCCAGCCGGTTCCGAACATAACCCGACGTAACGAATTATCAGACGTCAAGTGAAAGTGAGCATGCGAACCGACCATGAAGTCCGGCGGACACCGAAAGCCAAGGAAATGGAAGACGCTCAGAAAGCCGGTAATGTCCGAGGATTATTTCAGTTGATCCACGCGACCGGGCCCCGGAAACCACCTGTGAGCGGGAACACCGAGGATCAGAAGGGATTTACCATCTTTTATAAGTATGAACGCCTCGAACGGTGAGAGACCGTGGCCACCAGCTGCCACTCATCTGGAGTCTACAACTGACGTAGAACTCCGGAACCCCCTACGGCCACGAAGGTTTATGACTGTATATAATCTCTCAAGCGCCACCGAGTTCCCGGTCCGGATGACCTACCACTCGCATTGTTCAAACACGGCGCTGAAAGTCTCAGTCAGCCCTTGTCACATCTGTTTGCGTGCATTTGGGAAAAGGATACTGTTTCAGACAACTGCAGTAAGTCGGTGACAGTGCCCACTTGCGAAAAAGAGGATCATAATGAGTGTGTCAAACATATGGGGATCAGCCTGACCCCAGTCGCAACGAGACTGTTGGCGTCACTCGTGTTTCGTCGTTTTATGGTGGCTTGTGAAACACTAACCCGAGAATAACAAGTGAAGTCCCGGCCTGGTAAGGGTTGCGTTGACCAAATATTCACACTCCATCAGGTGATAGAACAATATCATGCGTCCAAGGGATCCACAATTTCAGAATTCCTGGATTTCCAACACGCATTTAACTCGGTTGACCGGTCTGTTCTCCTTGGCACGCTCACCTATCAAGGAATGTCCTGGAAATTTGTCAACATAATACGTTCTTTGTATTCTGTGACTTCCGGATGTGTGAGAGTTTAGGACGAGCTCTCCAAAAGCCTCCGTACATAAAGCGATGTCCGTCAGGAGTGCCCAGACTTTCCTCTCCTATTCAATTTCGAGATCGATGAGATAGTGATACAACCGCTGAAAGGTCTTCAGAATCCTGGTGTTCACATAGCCTGTGACGAAAACCTTGTCGATCTGTATTATGCAGACGATATAGTTCTTGCCTTCGAAGAGGAGAAAAAGGCACAGGTGTTTTTGGATGAACTGACCAAAGTCACCACGTCCTTTGGTATGCACTTTTCACCCACAAAGTGTAAGGTCATGCTCGTGGACATGCAGTCACTGAAAACGCCTATTACGGTCGAGGGAGAGGTACTGGAAGTTGTGGAGTGTTCTACGTATTTTGGAAGTTGTATTAGTCTTGACTGTAGTATGACAGACGAGGTCAATGCATGGATCTGCAAGTCCCGGGTCACGTGGGCTAATTTGAGATACCTATGGCGTCGAAGCGGTATATCCATGGATCTCAAGGGACGTGTGCATCAGGCTACAATGGGGCTGTTTTGTTTTGTGGTTGTGAGGCTTGGAGTGGTCGAGCGTTGGAACTGAGACGTCTTCAAGTGTCCAACAACTGTTGTCTAAGAACTATAGCTCGTGTGAGTTGGTGTCGGTGAGTCCGGAACTAAGCAAATAGAAAGCGAGTCTTCGGTCGTGCAACGGGTAGGTCCATTGAAGAATGTGTCTAGCAACAGAAGCTGTTTTGTTTACGTAATGTGTTGCGTATGCCGAAACATCGTTTGTCGAAGAGGGTGCTGTTTCCCGTGCCAAATTCAGATTGGCGGAAGCAAAGAAGTGGCCAACACTTGACTTGACGATACGTTTGGATGATGTTGGTGCTACTCGCCTCGGCCAACAATTGACGAAACGTTTGGATGATGTTGGTGCTACTCGCCTACCAGGGTGGGGACGGCAAAATCCGCACAGCACCTGGTTGGAGACGCTGCAAGATATGGCTGCCAATCGATGTGAATGGCATTCTTGCAGTCAGTTTCTATCTAGATTTCCTGGATAATTGTCTGGAGGTGTGGTCACCCGGGTAAGACTGTAGTATGCTAGCACTAGGTCCCCTCAACATCTACTTTTATCCTTTTCTTCACGACAGGACTTTCAAATAAATCATGGTTGTACGACAGCGAAGCATCAGTGCTGTCGACGATGATCATGATGATGGTGCCTAGCTGCCGTGTTGGCCGAAGGAAGCACAAGGGCTGGGATACTAGATGATGGTGGCTGCCGTGTTGGCCGAAGGAAGCACAAGGGCTGGGATACTACCAGGTTACCCAAGCCTAGGAAGGGTAAGTCGAGATGCATGCGTTGGGTTCGAATCCGACCTAGTTGACCTACCTGTACGCCAGTACTATGAGGATTCCCTGTGCTCTTTCAACAAGAACCCCGTACTGTTCACCAAAGAAGGGAAGTAAGCCGCTCAACCGATGGCGTTGTTTAACTGACTTTCAAGGTCGCATGAAATTTTGACAATGAGACAACAGGCACAATGCCACTGAAGGATCACGTGACACAAAGGTGTGCGCTTGTCACTCGTGTTTGTCAAGCCGATCATCCCGCGCGACTGCACTGCATACTTGTGCACTGACGAAATATGCAGCGGTGGGGCGGGAAGAAAAACTATAGTAACCTGAGCTGGATTGAAGTCTATGAATAACAGACTTTGGTGTGCCCAACGTATCTGAATTAGAATGTACATGGTAGTTGGCTCGACTAAATTTCCACAGCCCTTCAACTGTAATTCACATTAATCGTACCTAGCTGCTACCAACCTACGTGTGTTGAGAGACCTATGGGTATTCTGTTATATGAATGCTGTGTGAACGAATGCCATCTTAGGGAGATCGTGGATAATAACCCGTTACGCTGACTGGTTGTCGAGAAGCTGGAGATTCTAACTCAACCTAGAACCTCTGGAAACCGTTATTCGTGGTTGAATAGCACAACATTCGAGTAGAACTATTCAAAGAAGAACCGTGACAATAGGTTTGGAATAGTATGACCAGCGGTCGGACTGTCGGGTAACGGAAATGGATCAATACCCGTCATCCCATCTGTTGGCAGCTGTTGAAAATTTTTTTCTAGGCTTATTATCATCAACAATCTACTATTTGGTTGTTGGCGACCTTAGCCCAAATTTTTCTTAACACTTCTGACCGAAATCCCCACGTGAGTATTAAAAAGTCAAATCGACTTAAATCGAAACGAATCTCTCGCCAGGCCTCTCTTGGAAGTCCTCACTCATCGCAGAATCATATATGACGTTGTGGCTGGGGGGGACACCGGAAAGGGCGCGTTTGGGGGGGGGAACCCC